TTGTTGAAACCGATACATCCAATGCCCTGGTCCCCTCACACCTCACTTTGCATAATTGCATGTGGCATTGGGTGCATTTGTTTCGCTATTTTTTGAAAAAAAAAAAAGTTTGAAATATGTATAAAAATCTTAAGATAATTAATTAGATAAAATTTTGTAAAACTAAAACAATAATTTTAGTGTTTTTCAATTAAAATTATGTATAATCCGATTCTTCTGTTTTCTTAATTTTTTCTATCTTTCTACTTGTTTTTACTTTTTAATTACCTTTTTCATGTTGTGTTTCATTTCACTTATGGGAGTTTGAAGGCCTCGCCTGATAAATGCTCATAACTATGTCTGGATAAAGAAAAAGAAAAAAAAATGAAGTGTTTTTATTTGATCAAAACTAAAATTAAAAAATAAAATATTTATATTTAATTTCTTCCATTCAATTAAATAAAGGGTACCCTGTACCTAAAAATGGATAAGGGAACCATATCGAACATTTCTTTTTAGGGTATGTTATAATCATTAATTGAACTGAAGCACTAGTATTACTTTTACAAGTCCCGATGATACTAAAATTTATAATAAATTATATATAAAATGGGATGAGCAACTTTGAAAATTTCTCCTCTAGTCCTAGTGATCAACAACTCATCACAACACAATCACGGAGTATTTATCACAATAGCTCAACTATCAATTCATTCATACAACATTATATAGAAGTTGAATTCAACAACCCATTCAACATCAACTAATGCGTCATCACGCATATACAACTAGGAAATCTCCAACAATTGAGGTTGAGCAGTCTAGGTGGCATAAACCCCACCGAATCCAACGTTTGACCTATCTCAACCAAGTTAGGTATAGGGCATCGTTAGGAACTCCGAAGAGAACCAGGTATATACAACAATAGGCGATTGCTTAAGTGTGCCACTTAGACTCGGAGGTCCAGTACTACTATCAGGACAGAAGGGGTTGGGTGTGAACCTACCACAACCTTGGTCTGCATAACCAATCGACATATGGGGTTAGTCCACCCACTCCCCTCCAAGTACCACGCACCCTCCAGTACCTAGTCAAAGACTACATCTCTAACTAGATACCTTACTCAATTTGGTCATTCAATCATGACATGGATCGACTACTTCCACATCATCCATACAGTACTCAGGGATTCAACTTTAAAACAACTTTCAACTTATCACCTTAGTACTATATATCTCAACATAGGACATATATCTTCACCATATGTCCCCAACTTTTCAACTTTACAATAATAGGCAGCTTTATAACTTTACAACATTAAGCAACTTTACAACTTTACAACAATAAACAACTTTATAACTTTACAACAATAGACAACTTTATAACTTTACAGTAATAGGAAACTTTACAACTTTACAGCAATAGGCAACTTTATACAACTTCACAACAATAGACATTTTTATATCAACTTGAATAAACAACTTGAGCAACTATAGTCAACACAATATCAACTTTACAACTTCACAACTATAAACATCCTTCATTCAACTTGACAACAATAGTCATCTTGATACTTTAAATCAACTTAATGCAACTTAACAACTGTAAACAACTTTACAACAATAATCTACTTCAACTTATACATCTCGAATTATTAATAATTCAACGATAGACAACATCCAAAAAACTTAGTTTCATCAAATACACAACATATAAACAACTTAAGCCAACAACTACTCAACTCATCTTCATCAAGCAACTTAGCAACTTAACCACGTTATAAACAACTTCTGAAACACAAGAACAACTACATGCAACCACTAATTTAAATCAATCATCTTTTTTTTTCTTTCAAATAACAAAACCCAACATTTTAACTCAATCCGCACCAAAAAACTCAACCATTTCAAGGAAAACAATGCATGAAGCTTCCCTAACCTGAAGATTGGCTTAGAATAGCCAAGAGCTGAGAAGAAGCGAAATTTCCTTCCGAAACTCAACCCGAGAACCTCAATCTTCCAAAGCAAGCTTCCTGACCTAGAGTTTTTCTCTCTAAAACTTCTCTCTAAAACCTCTCTCTAAGTTCCCCTTTTTTTTCTCCTCAAATGCATGCATGTGGCCTATTTATAGAAGTCTAGAGTGGTCAGAACGGCTCGTTTTGGATCTGGAACGGCCCGTTCTACTCTCCTTCATCATGTCCCGTTCTTAAATCAGAACAACCCGTTCTGGAGTTGGAACGACCCGTTCTTAACTAGGATTTACAGGCTTATTTAGTAGTTTGGAACGGTCCGTTATAGTTTGGGAACGACCCGTTATGGGCTACTAAATCACCCTTGTTTTAGTAGTTTGAAATGACCCGTTCCAATTTTGGAACGCCCCGTTCCAGTCTACTAATTACGTTACAATAAAGATTTGTATTTAATATATAAAGATTGATTAAAATTTATAATTATATAGTAAATTTTTAAATTTACTGAATAATTTTTAAAATATTATATATTTTTAATTAAAATTTGTTAATATATTTATATTATATATATGATATATTTATATTTTTAAAATATATTAATATATATTAATTCATATTTAATATATTATTAGCTTATAGATAAATATTTAATAACATTATCAATACTAATTTATCAATAACATTATTAATATTAATAATTATTTAAATTTTATTTATTTAGTAATAGTAAATACATGTTTTCTATTCTAATAAAAACTATAATTTATATAATTCAAACAGCACAAAAATTATATAATTTTAAAATATTATAAAAAATAATAATATGTTAATATTATAATATTATTTATATTAATTTATGAATAATATTATTTGTAATATATATATATATATAGTGATACTAAATGTAAGTATTGGAAGTGTATATTTTATTACTTTAATTTATACATTAAAAAATATTTTGATTTAATCACTAGTGTCATCTCAATAAAAATTGTTAAATTTTTAATGAAAGACTAATGGAACAATAAAAATTTAATAATTGTAATACTTGATTACCACATCACAATTATCATATTTAAGAAATGAAAAATGTAGTTAAACTTATTTTTAATTAAATATAATTTATTTTAAAAAATGTTAAAATTTATTTTAATAATAAAGATGAAAATAATATATCTATGATTTTGTTGAATAACATGTATTTTGTAATGACCTGTCATGATCCTTACACTAAGTATACTAGTGAACTAAGAGAAGCTGGTAACTGGATAACAATATATATATATATATATATATATATATATATATATATTAAAGTAATAATAAACTACATTTCTATGTACAAAACATAAGGAATTAATGATTTAGAAAATAAGAAGAATCAAACAGAGAAATTTGGGAGAGAAAGGAGCTCAGAGACCCATAGTTCTTCTCTCTAAAACTTCACTCTAAAACTTTCTGAGGTTGAGCTTATGAGGCTCTGTTTCTCAGAGAAAGCCTTATATATTATTCTCTCTAGCATTGACTAAACTCTAAACCAACTTACTATGTTACATATTTCAATATATATTTTAAAAAAAATATCAATAATTAGAAATTACCTTATATAAAAATAAAATTATTTATTATAAATTTAAAATAATGTTGGATGAATTTTAATTATAGTATTATTTATATATTCATAATTTTTTATTATACATTTTAGTTATATAAAAATTAACATTTTCAGTGTATTGGACATAATAAAATATATAATTTAAAATATTTAATAAACCAAATATATTTTTTTATCTTATATGTCCATGTACAAGTTATTATATCAATATCGATAGTTCATTAATATAAGTAAATCTATAATCATATCCTTTAATTAAAATTTCACGTTTAAGTTTCGTTCAAATTTTGTGGGAATAAAAAAAAAATTATCAGGAAAAAAATTATTAAAAATGATTAAACACATTTTTTAATTAAGATTAGTTATTGAAAATTTTGGCATTTAATTATTTTGCATTAGTACCAAGTCACTGTTGCATAAATATCCCGACCAATCTAACCTAATAAAAAAAATAAATATAGGTGGAGTTGAATTTATGAGTTTTGATTGAGTTAAATCTGTAAGAGTTTGGTTAAATATCAAATCTGTAAGCTTCCTATGTATAATGAATTTGTAAACGCCCATACTAATATGATTATATATAATGAATTTTTAATACAATTTAATGGACTTTATAAAAAAAGTTTGATTATTCAAAAATATCAATGCAATAGAGTTGTGTTTGGACCACATTTTAAAAGTTTGATAGAATTCAAACTCTGCTGGTTTGGTTTATTATAGTTTACAACTTAATTAGAATTAAGTGATTTAAATATCAAAAAATCTGACCTCGACCTTTTTTTTATTATTATCATTTAGATTTTACACAAGACTTAATTCAACTTCTGATTCAGAATCTCCATGAATACGACAATTTATCCCTTATTTAGAAGGAAAGTAAGTAATATCTATTTACTTCCTCTTTCTTCTCACTTCAATGTCTTTTTTTTCTTATCTATCTTTTTATTTCTCATATTATTTCTCTGTATACGAATTTAATATAAAAAAAATAATGTTGAAAGGATGATCGATTTTGAAGAAAATTAATTTTCAATAAAATTGATAAATTTTCCTATTAATACATGATTAAAAAAAATATTATTTATCACATGATTCTCCTTTATTAATTTCATAATTTTCTATTATCTCCACTCTTATCTTTTCATTTCTCTTATCTTATCATTTATGACATGACTCCCTTCTATTAATTTCTCTCCCTCTCCAATACACTCCAAAAATAGTGTGTAAATTTAGAAGATATGAATGCCTAATTTTAGGCAACCACCTAAAATCTCCCCAAAACAGACCGGACTATTTTTATTTTATTTTATTTTTATCAATTTGTATATAAAAATTCACCTTACTTGACCCGACCCATCTTGCGCCGTGGTTTCATGACTCGTGCAACAGTTCAGCCCCCTTTTTAGAAAAATATATAAAAATAATAATTTGTTAGAAAAAAAAATGAAGAATAAATGAATGAAGGTGACGATACACGTTCTTAATTCAAACACGGCGTTACAGTTAGGTGTGTGTGTTGATGGGAAAACCCTGTGGGAACTTTTCAACATTCTGGTTTTGTAGGACATGCTAATGCTATTGCTACCTCGCAAACTTCTCCTCATACCCCCAACCATGCTCCTTCCATTTTCGCGTTAGTTGTGTTGTGTTGCATATCACGTGACATATCATCCTTAGGGAGAACCTGCAGAAAATTGTAAACAGAAATCACCTCAGGGTTTTGTGAAGAAAAAAAATAAAACAGTATTTTTTATTTTAATTGAGAAAGACGAGAGAGATGTTGAAGAGTCCCAGAAAGTTAGTTACGCCCTTTACTAAATGGGTTTCTGATAGTAGTAATTGGCGTCTAACTGGGTTGATAATCCCTCTGGTTTTGTTCCTCATTTTTTTCTCAATCCATTCATCCACCTTGAACGGTTTCGCAGCCTTTTACCCAGTTCAGCAGTTAATTTCGAACCTCCCTTTTCAGAAGGCCAAAAACGACGACGCTTGGAAGAATGAGGTGTTGCGGTCGCGAATTGCGGTGTGTTTGGTGGGTGGTGCTAGGAGGTTCGAACTCACCGGACCCTCCATAATAGACATGATACTCAAACAATACCCAAATTCGGATCTTTTTCTGCATAGCCCATTAGACTCAGATTCCTTCAAGTTCTCGCTCTTGAAGTCTGCCCCAAGGGTCGCCGCCGTTAAAATCTTCTACCCCAAACCGTTGCCGGAGAACGAGTCGTATGTCCGAGTCCTCACCGCACATAACTCGCCCAACGGAATCCAGGTAATTTCGCGCTTATTTTCTCTTTCTTTCTTTTTTATTCATTATTACTACTTTTTCCCCTTTTGGGATTCCTCAACAATACATACACCTTCAGAATCAGATTGTTAAACGCCTATTGCTTCTTTTGAAAATATAATCAACATGCTCCTGTTGCCGTATATCCAAGAACAATTTCTCTGAGAAACTAAAGATAAAAATAAAATAAAATAAAAAATGTTAGAAATTACAATTTAACACTTTTTTGGGATTTTTAATTTTTAAAATAATATTATTTCATGGGAGAATTTCAATGAGTTGCGCCATCACCCTCATTGTGCTGTGGAAAGATGTTTTCTTATCGGTATCAAATTCTTTTCTTTTTCACCTCCCATTCTAGATAAGTCCATAGGATGCTACCGTAAAAGAAAAGTAAAATTATATCAAATCTTTACTTCTACATTTCATCTTCCAAACCCACGTAATAGGTTGAGGTTGGTTAAAGTAAAAACTAGCTTGCTCATTTATGAGTGAGACAGAATATTTTAATAACGGTATTAAATATAGGAGGTTATTATCGTAGACACGTTTACGTTAGGGTTATGTATTCATGTGTATGTATATGTTAAAAGTATTTAACTTTTAAAAGGATACATTGTATGTATTTATTTACATTTATGTTAAAAGTTACTTTAGGCGTTTTTAGTTTTGTTATAAGTAACGTTCTTTTAAGAATTTATACACGTTATTCTTATTTTTTTTATAAAAAAATAATGTGTATAAATCCTTAAAAAATGTTACTTTATAAAGTTATATGTAATATAATAATATTGTATATATTATATTATATTATTATAATACTACACGTGAAATAAATTTAAACAGAAAAATATTTGAAAAGTCAATGTTTTACTTTATATAAAGTTATTATTAAATTAAGTTTGATAAAAATCCGTTTAGATACTTATTTAAAAGATTAATTTTTTTTTGAGGGGTATTTAAAAGATTAATAAGCAGTATATTTTCCATCTTTAGGATAAAAACAGATTAATAAAGTCTGCCTTTTCATATTGGAATACTTTTTCCTTTTTGGGTTGTATCCTGGTCAGTTTCAATGACACTTTTAATTCGTTGGCAAGCAAGAATTTTCTTTTGGAAAATTTTCTTCAACACAAAATTTGTATGATAAAAAAAATATCATTTAATTTTGTAATATATTTTTAAGATAAATATATGTCAAAAAGATAAAATGATAATAATAATAATAGTTATAATAATAATTATAATAATAATGTAAAAATAACTATGACATAAATTTTTAAATAAATTCAAATGATGGAAGGCTTTGGTTTTTATTGGGCAGCTAACAGTCAACATCTTTAATATTTTATAGTTAAAATAATTTCCAACTTGTTTTACTTTTTTTATTACTATTAAATATGTAAATAGTTGAAAAACTTTGGGGCATGTGTAGATTTTTGAAACCTTATTTAGGAGTTAGATTGAAAGTTAGGAGGCAGTTTAATTTTTGGTGGGGGTGTGAGGGCAAGGGCAAGGGCAAGGGCAAGGGCAAGGGCAAGGACAAGGACAAGGGCAAGGGCAAGGGAAGTTCCTTTGTGAATGATTTATGAACTTTTATTGTATTGCTTAAAGGCAGAAAGCTAAAGGCACCAACCAAAAGTTGCTTAGAATTGAAGTGTGACGCAGACGTAGAAAGTAAATGCTAATTATGAATGGATAAAATTTACGTTTGCAGGGACTTCTTCAGTACTTCAACCTAGTGGAGGGATGCTTAACGATGATAAAATCACACCAAGAGAAGAACAAGTTCACGTACGATTGGATAATCCGAACACGCGTAGACGGTTACTGGAACGCGCCGTTAGGCCCAGACAACTTCGTCCCAGGAAAGTACCTGGTCCCACCGGGCTCCTCGTACGGAGGACTTAACGACCGTCTAGGAATCGGCGACCTCAGAATCTCGACGGTGGCACTCTCGCGTCTCTCTCTCGTTCCGCACCTGGACTCCGCAGGCTACACTAACCTCAACTCCGAGGCAGCCTTCAAGGCCCAACTCACAATCCTAAACGTCACCCACGTCATGAAACGACTCCCCTTCTGCGTGGTTTCGGAGCGGAGGTACGACTTTCCGCCGTCGCGGTTCGGCGTGCCGGTGGCGGCGGTGTCGAGCCCGGGACCGCTGAGCGGGGCGAAGTGCAGGCCGTGCAAGGCGGCGTGCTCGGGGCTGTGCGTGGAGAACGTGATGGAGAACATGGAGAGGGAGTGGAGTTGGACGGATTGGGAGAAGGGTGCGCTTGAGCTTTGCGACGCTCACGGTGGGTGGGAGAAGGGTTGGGAGAAGATTTTTGACCGCGTGGCTGGGAACAAGTATGCCGCTGCTAGGAAGCGAATTGAGTCTATGAAAATGGGGGCTTGCCTTAGGGATTTGGTTCAGCTCAAGAAACGGAGCGCCCATTGGAGTGCGCCTCCCCTCGACCACATTTGTACATTGGCTATGACTAGCCCTTGACTGCCTTTTCTTTCTCTCTATCTTCTATCTTCTATCTTCTATCTTCTGTACCTAGTCTCCCCAACATACAGTACAGTCATCACACTGTTTTCTTAGGCAAAATATCAATTCTTTTTTTACATTTATTTTTGGAATTTAAATACATCAGTGGGTGCCAAAATTACTCCAATAAATTAATTTTATAAAATTAAATATTGACTAATTTTTAAATATTTAAAAATTTTAAAAAAATTAAAATTAGATAATATTAAATATTTTTAAATATTCATAATTAAAAGATATAAGAGAGATATAAAAGATATATAGGTGAAATAAGAAAAAAAATATAAAAAATTTAAATTTTTACTTTTTAAAATTCTACTATTTTAAGCGTGTGTTTGCTTATACGTTGAAAACGTGAAAAATCACGTTCAACGTAGAACGTATAAGCAAACACACGTTAAAAGAATTTCATAAATATTTATATTTCAAATTCTTTGTCTAAATAAAATATTTCAATAAAAAGTGTTTAAAATTTATAAAAAAAAAATGTGCTTAGATTTTATTTTGTTGTGAGTTTAAACCAACTCATTCTAATTCTAATCCTCAGAGTAAAATTTCAAGATCTTAAATAATAGAAAAACATTTAAAGATACAATCTTTTTCCAAACTTTGAATGGCATTCAGATATGTCATTGAAACCTTAGTAATTGAGGGAGTGAAAATAGGTAAACTTAATTAAGTTTTAATTTAAATAAAGATGGTTCATTTTCACATTTGTGATCTTAATACATTGCTTTTTTACCTGACAAGTGCTTCTTAAGGCTTGATTTAATCTTTTCTTCTTTTTTGTTTACAACTTCAAACTGCAAACCTATTCAAAAGATTATCTTAGTACTATATATCAAAAGAAAACTTATTTTGTAACAAGATTTTAGACCAACAAATCAACTGTGAAGCAAACAAAAAAAAGACTAACAAATCAACTTCTAATTAACTAGTCTAATTAGACTAAGCATTTTGAACGTGCATAATTAATTTCTGAATTGAAACAAGTGCTTCTTACTTTTATTTCAACATTTGAAATGAATTTACGAAGAGAAACGTGAATCTTCAATGTAAACTCAAACACAAGTTCAATATGAATATTAAATATTGAATTCTGAAACGCGATATATATAATTAATAAATATAAATATGATGTATTTTAATTCAATCTGTAACATATTTTATAATTTTTTTTCTTAATATTTGAGCTTCCCTATCAATGTAACTGCATATTTATTCATCGATTCATCCTTTATCCAATTTTTCATATTTATCATCAAATAATATTGAAAAATAAAAAAAGGAACAAGATATCAGACAGAACTGATTCTGATATTTTCGTGAGTCCAGGATAATGCGATAGATAAAAACCTCTTGCATATAAATATTTTTAAATTTATATATATTATATATATAAAAAAATAAATAAACATGTAATTTTAATAAAAAATGATACATTTTTTAACATGATGTAAACAAAATTTTAATAAATCTTTTAAAATATGTATTAACTTTTTTTTTTTTCCAACAAACTTTTAAGCTATCTTTTATTATCAACGAATTATATTCTGTAAAATTATTGCAATGTCTATCACTTATAGAACGAAACATAATTTATTAGTATATAAAAAGTGTAATCCTCTTTTAAGTTTTATCTTTTATATAGAAAAAAAAATGCATTAGATGACAAATTTAAAAAATGATGAAAGTTTCTTTAATGATTTAGAAAAAACTAAATGTTTTGTCTGTTAACAATTTAGAATTTGTAGTAAATTAATTAAAAATTTAACAAGAGGAAAAAAAAACCTAAAAACCTAACATTAAAAAAGTAGTTCCATTTTTTTTTAAAAAAAATTAGAACTGTATTTTTATTTTTCAATCCCGTCAAAAATGGGCTTTGCAAAATTGCCTCTTTTTTTCAACTTTTTGGATCAGCCTTGATCAGATACATATAACAATGGTATATATATTTTCATCCTATGATAAGTACATCTTTTTTTTTAAAAAAAAAATCTTAAAATATATTTAATTTTTTATTTTTTATTTTTAGGTATCTAATATTCAATTCAGTATTTTTTTTTATTTTTTACATACATCTTTCTCTTTCTTTGTTAGACTCATTATATATATATATATATATATATATATATTAAGTATATCTCTTTTTCTTTTTTAAATAAAAATAAATTCTTAAAATATTATGAACGTAAAAAAAAAAATAAGGAGAAAATTATAAATTGCACAATAAAAGAGTAACATTAAAAAAAATACATGATAAAAAAAATTAAAGATATTTAAAAAAAAGAAAAGAAAAAAAGATGTACTTATAATAATAATAATAAAAATAAAAAAAAGGAAGAGGAGAAGTGGTGCATCATATCCTCCTATGAGAAAGAAAGCAATTTGATATCTTGAAACCTTTTGTTTTTTTTTTTTTTTTCTCTTCTTCGCCAAAAAGCGGAGACCATCATTAGAGTGTAGCCATTGTCTTACTGAAATTAGCATGCACGTACAAACTGCAAAAGCAGTTGGGTCTCCCCCTAGCCGTCAAAGTGGGTCGGGACCCGTGGGCCATCTCGGCCCACCTTGAAAATGGGCCGGGCCAAAAAAAATTGAAATTTTATAATAAGTGGGTATATCTCAACCCGGCCTACTTTGACCCGGCCCATCTGGGCTAAACCCGTGGTGGGCCGGGTAGCCCACCAACCTACCATTTTTTTTTGCAATAAAAATTTAAGTATGATTTTTAGTTAATTTTGTATGATGGGATATTGAAAATTTTTATTTTAGACTTTTATCATGATTTGTATTTTATTTTGTATGATGAATTATGACTTATGACTATTAATGATGTTAATTTTATGACTATTATGTTAATTTATAATTAATTTTAAATTTTAAATTTTGTTGATAATTTTTTTTTAATTTTGGTGGGCTGATGGGCTGGCCCGTATAACCCACCAACCCGTGGTGGGCCGGGTTGGACCAATTTTTTTATAGAAAATCATAAGTGGACCGGGTTGGGTTGGCTCGTTTTTAAAGTGGGTCAAGGTGAGCCGGCCCACATGGGCTGGATTGGCCCGTTTTGACAGCTCTACCCCCTATTACGATATGAAACTGCTATAGTACTCATGAAAATTAAAAAAATTTAGTATATCATATTATGTGAATAAATAAATTTTAAAAAATAAATTTAAAATAACATAAATTTTAGATTAAAAATTTATATAAAATAAATCAATCAAAAATACTAATTTAAAAAAAATAATCAAAAGGTCAATTTTTATAATAAATTTTATTTATATTTGATCAAATTAAAAAATTAAAAACAAAAAATTATAATAATATTATAAAAATATTAAAATAAAAAATAAATAATATAACTGAAAAACTAATTTATA